CCCCAAAACCCCAAAACCCCAAAACCCCATTGTGGTTCTTGAATATTGATTGGATATTTAAAAGAGTTAGTGACTAGAGGCTTTTAAATAAGATTCATGATAGCTAGCATTATATCACTATAATAAGATGTTTCAAGTATAAATCGCTCACTATAAATTATCTTCAACCCTCCTGATTGTTGATTTTTATCCTCTCTTTTTTTATCAGAGCCAGTAAAAATTTGAGTTAACTACCTTCTTTTCCTGATCTCCCAATACTAATCAGGTTCTCTTGGATAAATCCCCAGTGGTATTCAGGAATTTCAGATCTAGCCTAACTGGAGCCTAAAGAAGCAAAGCTGAGGAAGGATCTATGATTGGAAAGACTCTACAAAAGGGTAAACTACTATAAGGATAAGATGAAGCAAAAAAAGTTTGTGAATGACTAAGAACGAAGTTGGACAGAAGAAAATTTATGTCTATAGTATTGAGGGAGATTTATTTAATCAAGAGTTCTGAAAAATTAAAAAGAAATACGAAGCATAACTTTTAAAAGTTTCTAATGATCATTTTAAATGCCAATACTTGTGTTAAGTATAACACTTTAATTTTAATTTTTCTCATCATTCTCTCTCATTTGCCTCATCACCACTCTTCTACCTATCAGGCTAGCTCCCATATATCATCAACACACCACTCCCAATTAAAATATACTCTCCTTTAATTCTTGTGATTAACTAAAAGTTTTCTCTTAACTAGCTATCACTTAAAAGGAATTTCCCCTCTTCCAAAACCTGAGTGATATCCTTTTACTTCGTGTCCCAGTGAAAGCCCATTGAAATTAAGAAGCTAATGAAAATACTTGCCACAAGACCTTAATATATAGTAAATCTGAAGCTTAAATTCTGGTATTCTTCCTTGATGATAGCTTTAGACTCTCTATCAACTAAACTACCTTGGATCGTAACTTTATCCAAAGTCTCAGAGCAAGGACACTGGCTGATATGCCATAAGAAGTTGTCAAGGTAATTAGGGTCATTCTTGACATCATCTGGAGGAGTTATCTAAATCCTGAGGTCAGAGACTTAGAAGAATAAAGAAAACTTATCTGTGAGTATACTTACTCTATAGCCCCATTTAATAAAAATACTTCTTAATCAAGAGGAACTATTAGCTGTGAAGGTTAGTTTGGGTCCACTCACTTTTCATTTCTGCAGAACCAATCCTTCTAAATGAACTCCACATAGGAGTACACTAGAAAGGTGTTTAGAGGTCATAGTCACCTCAATAATATCAAGTTCTTTCAAAAAATGAGCATTTCTAATCAATCTTTTCATTCCATAATTTGTTCTGAATGATTTACAAAGTTCTATTCCTCTTATTTCAAAACAGCTCTTATTATTCATATGGAAATGAAGCATTTTGTAAAAATACTTAACTCTAATCCCTGAATTTAAAGTAACTATTTCGACATTTTGATCTTCTTCAGAAGACAAAACATTCAACTTGTAGATATCTTTAATGTAGAATTCGTTTGCAGAATAATTTGTATTCCTAGTTCTGAATTGAAACACAAATCCATGATTTAATACACCACCTTGTTTACTACTCAGCACATTATTTATCAAATTCCTTGTGTTTGTTTCCTTTCTGGCAACATCAATCTCTAGGCTTAAAGGTCCTTGAGCACTCTTATCATTCCTCTCCATTTAAATTTAATTATATTTCTTAGAATTTCAGCTTAAATCTTAAAAGTTGGGGTTTTGGGGTTTTGGGGTTTTGGGGTTTTGGGG